TGAACTCTGGGTTAGGAATGGGATGGCACTTCAGTTCATAGTAGGAGTCAAGGCAGGTGAGTCAACAAGGAGCTAATGGAGCTCAGCCAGTTAGCAGGAAGATACATTTCTGTATTTAATCTTTGTCCTGTGACTTTGTAGAATTTGGTCAGAAGTTGTTAGATACCAAAAAGTACCTGAACAGTTGTTCAGTTTTAAGTTTTAAACTCTTGGTAAAACACATGAACTCTGGAGTCAGACGAGCCATGAGAGGAGGTCGACCATCTGCACACATGAATGCACAAGTGACTTGAAAGAAAAAAAAAAGAAAAAAAAAAGAAGCGGAAATTGCTCCCAAATGTTAACACAGATTGGTCTTTGTCAACCACCATTCACAGATGACGTAGCTCTGTCTTTTATCTTCCTCTCCCTCATGCCCACGTCCTCTTATGCTTTCCTGAATATTCCACCAGAACACATGGGTTTTTAAGGCAGTAAAAACAACAACGCTGTTTCACATACTGTTGTCAGTATCGCTTTAGCAAAAAAATGAGATTCATCATTTTCGCATTCCCGTTGGCCGAGATCACCTGGTGAGAAGTGCAGGAGCAGATGGATTTGTTTTGAGCTAACTTTAAATTATTGCTCCGTCAAAATGACTTCAGTCCAAAAGTACGGTAAACATCAAGAGAATAAATGAAACTCAATACGTTTTACAAAATATATAGGGTAAGCTCCCTGGCTTCTTTCCCCCCCCCCCCCCCCCCCCCCGCTGCTGCTTATTTTCCACAGACTTATGAAACCTATGTGGCTGCAGCCACGGCTTGAAATAACAGTGAGAAGAGCTAAAGATTTGGAGCTAACAAGTTGTAAATGACAACGACATACAAAGAGATACGTGACAAAGAGGAAGAAGATTGTTTTGTGTTTCGTGTACCATTAGCATTTGCTAATAGTTTATTTAACAGGTTTGCAGTTTTGACCTAATGTTCTGTCTACACTGATAACCTCGAAGTCTGTCTTTATGCATGGTTAAGCTATAGGTTGACTTCATAATGTTGCTAATGTTGTGTTATTTGCTGAAGTTGGTCCAACTCTGCTATGATAGGCTACAATAGGAAGGTGAACATGCTACTATAGGCTAACTGCGTACCATTTCGATGTGTCGCAAAGTAAGACGAACCATCTTTGGTTGTTGTGGTGTTATTTGGAGGATGACAAAAATGTCATCACTGCTGAACTAAGCTACGTTGCTTCTGCTACATCCAGGATGTAGCCTGGAGGATAATTAGCTAATGCTAACTCCACTGGTTATTTATCTGATTATTTATCAACCTGACCAGAGCAGCTCTTTGGTCAACAGATAGATCAGACAGCTCAGGGTCGTCTGGTGTCCCCTACATATTTGGTACAATGTTGGTAAATGGTTTGAGTGGCTGCTGTGCCTCACTTTACAGTAAAACGTTATTGGTGAATTGGTGAAGCTGAATCCAATACAAATGTGACTGGTTTGCAAAGTCAAAACAACTCAAGTCAGATACAAAAACTGTTTAAAATGACTTTTTGGAAGGGCTTTGGAGTGGTGTCGAAAATATTTGATAAATATTGCTATTGTAGGGGGCAGCAGCAAAGCAAAGTTCATCCCACAGTGGGAGACTTGCGCTGAATTATAGTTGTGCTTTCTTTGTTCAACTTGAAAAGCTGTTTTATATGAAATACTGTTGTTGAAAGAAAATGAACTTAATGGAGTTTTGTTGACTTTGTCAATATGGAGGCGAAACAGAAAATATTTGGAAAGGGCTAACTTGCGAGGTCATTGTTTTTGTCCCCTTTATATACTGTAGTGAAACCCAAAGCACCCCACGCATATCATTCTTCCTGCGACCAGTGTTGTCATAAAAATGTGTGGTGGAATTAACTACCCACTTTGAGGTGTCGATACGGTAAAACATGCCGATATTAGCAAACCACCATCTCTTCTGGAGTCATGGACGTCTTACATCACAGATCCTGGGAGAGTGGCTCGTTTCACCCCCTGATTAACCTCTGATTTCAAGCTTCATAAAACTCACTCTGCTGTAAGACATAAAGTAATCCAGGCTCGCCCTCTCCTTAACCTAAGCGTATAAATCTGCTACGGTTATAAATGACTCCATGAAGCGTGCACATGGTTGGTATTTTTCATCCTATAGCCTGACAAATACTTCACGCCTGAGCGCCTGTATGTGGAAATGTCTTGTAGATTTAAGTAATATGATATTTATGGGGTACAATGTCAGTCCATCCTTCAGGGAACATTGACATTGTCAACGTGAGTGGGTCCAGGGGTCGGTCAAAAAGTTATATAAAAAAGTTATATAACAGTGAAATAAAGAAATCCTTATTAATGACAATAAGACATTTCTCTGTGTATTCTCCATTTAAATCTACATCATCTTTCTCTGAAGATGTCTGCGGTTTCACAGTTTCTTTACCTCATCTGTAGTTCAGTTTTAGCAAAAAAAAAAAAAACAAATTCACATGGAGTCAAAACCTGTTTCAAAGATCTAATCTAATCTAATCTGCTCTGATACGATCAAATCTAATCTGATCTAATCTAATCTAATCTCATCTAATCTCATCTAATCCAATCTAATCTAATCTAATCCAATCTAATCTAATCTAATCTCATCTAATCTCATCTAATCCAATCTAATCTAATCTAATCCAATCTAATCTAATCTAATCCAATCTAATCTAATCTAATCTCATCTAATCTCATCTAATCCAATCTAATCTAATCTAATCTGCTCTGATACGATCAAATCTAATCTGATCTAATCTAATCTGATCTAATCTGCTCTAATATGGTCTAATCTGATCTGATCTAATCTAATCTAATCTAATCTGCTCTGATACGATCAAATCTAATCTGATCTAATCTAATCTGATCTAATCTGCTCTAATATGGTCTAATCTGATCTGAGCTAATTTAATCTAATCTAATCTAATCTAATCTTCTCAAACATTTAATTTAATTGCAGTTTTTAAGCCTATAGTTATATCGGCGACTGACAGGAAATGTTCGGCTCTTTAGCAGCTAATTGCTCTCTGTTCACCAGACACATTCAACATTTAGTGCCGTGAATGTTATGTGCATTTTGTCGACAACTTTGTTTTTTTCCCACTGAATACAGCAGCCGTCGGCTGCAGATGATTAAAGAAACACGAGCAGTAAAGTAAGAGCAGTAAAAAGACACGACTTTAACATGAGCCTGTTAAGTGACTGTGAAGCCGACGAGAGCTGACGGTAACTCTCTTTAGAACCATGATGTGATCCAGTCTAAGTGTCTTTTCGTCGTCGGTGGACTCAGGGCTTCAATAAAAATATGGACGACGTCAGCTTCACTTTAAATAACGACTTATAGAGGCTTTAAATCGACGAGCTATCGCACTTGTTTAAGCACGGTGTAGACTGCTGACGCAGGAAGCACATGGTCTGCAATTGAAATGATAGATGATTCAAACCACTAATCGCCTTTATCCAAACATCAAGTAGCTAAGTCAGAGCGGTGGTAAGGATTTATGAGTGAATGAAAGGCACGTCGTCAATCACCGGCAGAGAGGGTGGGGGGCGAGAGAAGAAGTCGATAAACTTTATACACTGATATTTCTTGAAGTTGACCAAGCCTTGGCTGTGTGTATGACCTTGACCAAGTGTATGTGGAATTGTAAGGGAGAGAGCTAGAGAGAGAGAGAGAGACAGAGCGTTAAAGAGAGAGGAGTGTGTGTGACTTGAAGTTCAATAATGCACTCAGATCATTTTTGATTATTCCCATCCATGAATCCCAGCTGGGACATTGCGTTGAATTATTGCAGACAAAAAAAAAAAAAAAAAAAAGAGAAAGCTGGACTAATCAGACACTTTCAACTGCAGGGGTAAAAGCCGGGTGACTTTCCTTCAGCTGAACGGTGTTAAATTTAGGAAAAATGGATTTTCTTTTTTCTTTTATTCCTTATCGTCTTCTATTCCTTATCGCACGCACACACAACATTTTGACACTTTAACCACAGCCGCGGGTAATTTAGCATTTTATTTGGACCTCAGAGACCATCACTCATCACTCCTAATCCTTTGTGTTTTTCTTCCTCCACAGATCACATTCCCGTTCACAGTGTCTGCTTTATCCATTATACTTTAAGCTCACACGGTTTGAAGAATAACATCACAGACAGAATACAAATACATTCCAAAATTGATTGTGTTTGTGCCTGTACATAAATATGAGCAAAGCAATTCTGATCATTTTTTTTCTTCCAGTTCTTCACATTCATTTCAACACGTTGTATAAACATGTTAAAAATAACTAAATAACATGATTTAATCCT